TAGGAACACTGATTATCTTCAATGGATATTAACGTCACCTAAACTAAATGTTGCACAATTTTGTTCCTTGATTGAGAATAAAAACTACACATAAATTAAGTTTATAGAATAAAACATGTTTAAACAGCCGCTGTTAAAATACAGCATTTCTTCGATTTTACGTAATATGTACTTTTTGTAAATTTTAAAATTTCTCAACTCTGGGTGCTGTTAAAATTTGATGGCGTCTACGAATCCATGTCGAAAAATGATACTGTATGACTAGGGAGCAAAGGAACTATTCATGTCCATAATTCTAGTCAGGGATAGCAAAGACAAAGTTTGAAACAAAGTTTGAAACAAAGTTTGAAACAAAAAACATTAATACAAGGAAGTTTTATGTTTGAATATCGACAATTACTATCGTAATAGGCCTATACGTATTTTATTCCTGTCTGGGGAACATACTACCTCAATATTCCGGGCTGAAGTGAGAGGTAATTTAAAGCGAACATTTTTAAACCTGAATATAAGGGTACTATGTTCCTCCGAAGCATTGGTACTTAGCTAAAAGACGAGGGGACACGGTTCGGCAATCCAAGATAACATCTGTATTCTTATATCTGTTAAGAACTTCAGATCCTGCATTCTGAGGACCGCAGACTTATTTAAATATTAAGCTTGAGTACAATTTGCTTTCTGTTAGCTTCTGCAGCATAATCAGCTGAAGACAATCTTTAGCCCTAACTCCACGGTCAATAAATTCTCGGTGAAATAATATATCACCGTTTGATACAGCGTGTACGTACCTCAACTTTCACGCTAAATAATAATAACCCTTTTCTGTCTGCGTGTTAATTTTTTTATTTTCCTGATATCCAAAAGAACCACGTGGTTCCGTAACAAAATCTGCAATGTAGTTACCAGAATCTGAAATTGAATAAAGATTCGGGTAATTCGCTCTTCAGCCCTGAGGAAAGTTTTATCAGCCCAGTAACACACACAATGTCGATGGCGATCTTCAGGGTTGTAGAAGCCTTGAAACTTTATCTTCGTCGCCGTGAGAATCTTAAATCTCATTTCAAAAATCTGTTTTACGTTTCCTCAACTTTTAGGATTTACATCCTTTTACCTTCGCACCGGAAAATTTATTACAAATGCTACCGCGTCTAGTGGCCGGTCTTCTCGTAGATTTCCAGTAAAACGCTTACATACTGCATACAGCCGATGTTCGATTACAGTCCAGACGGTTGTGAGAGCTGGGAAGTCTATTTGTAAGGCGCACACATCTCGTTTAGGAGATCTGATTTCGTCTGTTGCTGTGGTCGGCGGCGAGGCAGTGCCCTTTGTCACGTACTGACAACTACCGCGAAACAAATATCGACGTTGTCCTGTTTGAATTGCACGAAGGACATACGGAAGATTCTTTATCCTTGGACTAAAGACTTGCGGTAGACAGTGGAAGTCTATATTCTAGTTCATCACGAAAACACGGGACAGAATTATCAAATCTAAAACTTCTTGACGATGGTGAAGAGTCAATTGAATAAAAATTTTCTTGGATATTATCCATAGTCTAGTAAATATAAAACGTAAAACGACGTTTCGGAGATGGGACTCTATCTCCGTCTTCAGGTTCCTACACAGTTGGGCGACTAGGAAATCTATTCTTTCCGTGTTTCTACTTGAATTTATTTATTTGAGACAACTTTCATGTCATGTGTTTCTGTTGAAGAAGTCACGTTTTGTATCGTTAGAAAAGCTTGTCTTTAACAGATATCGCTTCATAATATATAACTTACACAACCTGAATTCGTTGAATAGATTAAGTGACACAATTTGAATTTCATAGTTTGTGTTCTTACAGTCTACCCATCCGTATGTGGACAAAGTACACGCTTTAAAACCTTCAGATGTTCAAAAAAGATACCCAGTAATTTTTTTTTTACCATAACACAGGGACGTTGGCGACATTGGGGAACTGCTTTATGAAACCGACTCTTTAACTGAGAAGGAAGAATTTTGAAAGAGATTCTCTCTGTATCGCAACAATACGAGTGTCAGAAAGGGAAACAATTGTGGTCAACATGTAGCTTAATCTGTAAAGTATATGGCTATAAACTGAACAACGCCTTTTCGATTCCCGGTAGGGGCAGAAACTTTATTTTCTTCACAGCGTCCAGACCGTCTATGAAATACAAGTCCCCATAACCAACAGGTATCTGAAGTACAGCGGTCAGAGCTTGAAGCTGATTACTGACATCCATCTACTGCCAAAGTCAAAATTGTTTTAAAAACCCGAGACAATGATCATGGACACGCCTACCAAAATATGCTAACTAGATGGCTTACCGAACTCGAAGGTTCATCACCGAATTATCCAAAGCCCTCAACCTAAATCTGTTTCATATACGCACGAAAATGTAGCTCGTATGTAATGATAAGCAAAATACACGATATTCTTTCACTGTCGACTAGTACAAACGCCAAGGAAAATGAAACGTAACATTCAAGTTGTCATATCAGCTGTGAATAAGCTTCATAAACGTTCAACTTCGATACACCGTCGATATTCTCCACGCGCGTAAATTTTATCGGAACATAAAAGTTCCAAGTCACTTCCATCCACTACTTAACAAAACACGTAACTATATTTAACCTGCACGCTCCATATAAGCTTTCCTGTCCCAACATTCGCTTAAAATATAAGCGTTATATACAAGTCCACGTTCGAATCCAGACGACCAAAATCGATGTCATTATGAAAACTTTAAGTTTTTCCTGAAAAAAAAGTCGATACGTTTGCCTCACAACTGTAACACGAGCCCCAACAGTTGGCTACCCTGCTATTCTTTTTTTTTATTCTACATCATTGTTTAAGCAGTTACAAAGAGGTTATGTCGAGATTTGATCTCCCACGCTTCTTCGAAACGCAAATGTCGTTTTCTCTTCCAGTAGCTACGCTGAGAACACGGTACAAAGGACTTGAAGAATCTACACCAGAGTTAATAGTCGGTAGCGTTATGAATAGCCACGGTGGTCTAGCGGTTAGAACGCTGGCCTTGTAATCCTGGGGTCTCGGGTTCGATTCCCGGCGGTGCCCGGATTTATAACTTGTGTTTGGCAAGGCCGTGGTCTAGGCAACACGGAGTTTTCCTCCGTGGCATCCCAACAATTACTCCATTCACACACAGAAGGAGGCAATGGCAAACCACTTCTGGATCATCTGCCAAGAACGTATATGAACAGGTCCCAGTCCGAGAAAAGGATGGAAGGATCCTGTTCATATGGACCTGTCGTCAGACAGAACACTAAATAAAAAATATAATATAAATTGCGTTATGAACACATCTCCTGTTATAAAACATTTTTATATCAGGTGTCCAAACTGCGATTATCAAAATGACAACAAAACTTCCTTAACCACACAGACGAGGGCATTACATTATTAACACGTTGGTAACACTGCTTTCATTATCCAATTAGTTTACCAATCAAACATAAATTTATCATTATTATGAACGGAATTAATACAAGGTTTGCTACCGCGTCTCTTTTACGCTCTTCTGAGGTTGATAGGATGTCTGGAAGTGATGTACAAAGTATACAAAGATATGTATACTGTTTCTATTATAATTGTTACATACACACAGAAGGTTATTTTCTTGTTTGTTTTTTTGTGGCTATGAGATGCGCGACTGGCTAAGAACGCTACTAGATTGTCAAGTAGCCGTGAAGCTATCCACAGCGTGACGTCACAGGGGTGTAGAATACCACAACCAACAACTACCTTCTCTGTTTCATGTCACTCTGGGTCTTGTTTCCGCCAGACGACGTGGCCTTGTAACTTTCAAACCAGCTGCAACTGTTTTAGCTGAGAGAACGTTATGTAAATACAGGGCGTTCTAGACAGCGGAACCGTGAAACGAACTTCACGCGTTACGTGTCAGATACACTTCGCGGGAGGGCACATCCTAAGTACGCAAACACGGTTGCGCTGTCTAAAAGAAACACTGTAAAATCGGAGTAAACAAATATTCGAAATTCCTTCTTTGTGTTTATTTGTTCTTGTATGGTTAAACATATTCGTTTAATTAAATTTATACACCTTGCGTTGTACTCGTGTTAAAAAAAAATCATCTGGTTCGGAGTAACATACTGACTCCTTCTTTACCGTCGATAATAATGGTAAAAAAAACAGCTGGTTACATTACAAATTCTGACTCCATTCATGGTATGTTATGTACGAATTAATTAAATATATTAATCATTTATAATTTTCTATCATTTATGCCTTTCTCAGTCCCTCGCAATCATAAAAAATTACTCATATGTGACTCAAAAATACGTCGGCTACAATAATTTTCCATTTCATATTTCATGCAAAAATATTGACAGTGGAAACACGGTTCCGGAGAATCTGACGTAAATACGTCTATACGGAAAGGAAGTTTATATATTAGCTTTAATTACAACAATATTAACAACAATGCCGAGTAAACATATGACGTTTCCTAGGTAACATAACAATGCAGGCAAGCTGACCATTGTTGTAGATCCATATTAACACATTGTTGTCGATCCATATCAACATATTGTTGTCGATCCATATCAACATATTGTTGTCGATCCATATCAACATATTGTTGTCGATCCATATCAACATATTGTTGTCGATCCATATCAACATATTGTTGTCGATCCATATCAACATATTGTTGTCGATCCATATCAACATATTGTTGTCGATCCATATCAACATATTGTTGTCGATCCATATCAACATATTGTTGTCGATCCATATCAACATATTGTTGTCGATCCATATCAACACATTGTTTTCGATCCATATCAACACATTGTTGTCGATCCATATCAACTCATTGTTGTCAATCCATATCAACACATTGTTGATATGGATCTTACATGTTTTCCTTTCACTTGTTTGCCGAATGCAACAGAAACTTCCACATTAGCGACTACGTGTAAGAAAATGTATCATAAAGCACATTGGATTTATCTGACAACGTGTGGAAATACACTGTATGTTTCTTCGGTCTTTCCAGAACGTTTTCATGCTAAAAGGAGGACTTCATGGGTTTGTATTCTTCTGAGTCACGTGTAGACACATGATTGAGCAAACCATTTTAAGTCTTTGTAGCAGGACACTACATATTACATATATAAATACACCTTTGAGGAAAGTCGTGTCTGCAAGGGCTTGGAAGGCCATGCTTTATAATGTAACATAGGTGGGTCTCAGGTTAACTGCTACGATTTTCTTCAGTCATACAGAAACATAAAACTTCAAAATGCTATTTCCAGATCACGTATGCCACGACGTAAAGTTAGAAAATGCAGGTTTTAATGTAATGAAATATATTTTCCTTTAATGTATAACTTCGCCTTTCGGGGGAGGGACGCGTCGGACATTTGGTGTTAACCAACGTTTCGACAAACACTTTAGTTTCCATTTTCAAAGCGGATAATGTTTGCCGGAATGTTGGTTAATACCGAATATCAGATGTGGTTCTCACCCGAAAATCGAAGTTATGCACTGAATCTATCCCACGAAGAACTAATGACAAGAATTAGCTTGCTAAATTCCGATAAAACATTTGTAGAGCTAAGAATTTCCGATAAATACTCGATTTCCAAGACAAGTTATATGGCATTATTAGACAGGAAAATTAAATAATTGCGTTATTTATAATACTGAATTTTCAATATAAACGCAAACCTGACTACAAAAATATTTATAAGCTTTGATGGCACCAATGTAACAAGAATGACCTTGACCTGAGTGCCATGGGGAGGATGGGAAAAAGTATCATAGAGAGGTTGAACGGATTCTTATTTAATTTTTCTTCTATAGTACGCGACTACAGCCCCGGTGGTCTAGCGGTTAGAACGCTGGCCTTGTAATCCTGGGGTCTCGGGTTCGATTCCCGGCGGTGCCCGAATTTATAACTTGTGTTGGGCAAGGCCGTGGTCTAGGCAACACGGAGTTTTCCTCCGTGGCATCCCAACAATTACTTCATTCACACACAGAAGAAGGCAATGGCAAACCACTTCTGGATCATCTGCCAAGAACGTATATGAACAGGTCCCAGACCGAGAAAAGGATGGAAGGATCCTGTTCATATGGACCTGTCGTCAGACAGAACACTAAATATAAATGTTTAAATTACAGGAAACTCTATAATTTAGTCATTCACATCAAAAGACAGGAAAGTGATACGGTGACGTCACGTAGTTCGGGTCTTCTGTTTGTGATATTTGAAAGTTAAAACCCGTACAATTTAAGGTTCTCACGGCGGTGAGATGGGAGATGCCGTCTTCTGAGTTATAGCTCCGTGTAGTCTGGTATAAGTTCACCAAAGTTTTAGAGGATCTTGATGCCTCCATCACCAATTATCACCCTGATGATGGAGGCAGCAAGGACTAATCTATTCAGTAACGTAATTAAAACACACTCATTGCTTACTAAAAGTCCCACTTACAAAAAATAGGGAAATCAGATCGCTTTTAATATGGTAGATTTTTCAAATATATTTCCTAAAAACTTAAATATCAAAATATAAAAGGATTATAATTAGACCTAAAGACCTTTTGTGTCATAAGTAAAAATTTGTTCGTGAGATCATTATTATATGGCAGGGATTCACATGTAGATATATATTTATGGCAAAGAGATTCACATGTAGATATATATTTATGGCCACGTATAATTTCGGGAGGCGAAATTATGTGGTGTCTTTGACATTACGGTGTGTGCCGCGGGTGAAAAAGTTTGCTGATCACTGTACCAGAACATACCATTTCAGAATCGGTCATGCTTGGGTGTGGGTTGATTCTTTACTCCGGCAGTTAGATGAGTGTACATAAGGAATCTTACTTCTTTGGACAATCTCTGTCTCCTAGCTTTTGTTCCCGTGAAGTTCGATTCTTCATTATGCTAATTTGCTTTGTGTTGGCTATACTGAACGACAGAACCAGAAGAGGGGTAACTAGTATATACCACACTTTCCTCCACCTCCATTAATTCTTGACATAAGGCGATGTTGTTTGGTGAACGCAGGAGACTGAGATGGGACACAGACGCACGTGATACACACCATACTTGGATAACGAGTCACTACCTATGTCTGATAAACCTCCTCCACTACAACGCAGAAGCATCAACTCATTACACACACACCACGTGACACGGCCCCATAAAATGATGATCCGAGGTCGAATTCTAGTAGACATAGATGCTTCTTTGTTTGAAGTCAATGCAGATCCGAGCGTCGTTGGTAACGATGATAAAATACCACAATAATGTTGAGCGTTGTGAGTGACCTAATCACAGAGGTATGAGAAATTCGTACAAAATTGTAGTCGGATACCAGACGATGAAGAGTTCGTGTAGGTTATACAGCTTACCTCGTTTTATTGCGCTTCGAAGATATTGCGTTTTTTGTTTTACAAATTGAAGGTTTGTGGCAACCCTGCGTCGAGCAAGTCTATCAGCGCCATTTTTCCAACAGCATGAGCTCACTTCGTGTCTCTGTGTCACATTTTGGTAATTCTCGCATTGTTTTTTTAGACATAATGCTATTGCACACTTAATAGACTACAGTATAGTGTAAACATAACTTTTATATGCACTGGGAAACCAAAAAATTCGTGTGACTAGTTTTATTGCGCTTCGCAGATATTGCGTTTTTTTTACAAATTTAAGGTTTGTGGCAACCCTGCGTCGAGCAAGTCTATCGGGGCCATTTTTCCAACAGCATGAGCTCACTTCGTGTCTCTGTGTCACATTTTGGTAATTCTCGCATTGTTTTTTTTAGACATAATGCTATTGCACGCTTAATAGACTACAGTAAAGTGTAAACATAACTTTTATACGCACTGGGAAACCAAAAAATTCGTGTGACTCGCTTTATTGCGGTGGTCTGGAACCGAACCCGCAATATCTCCGAGGTATGCCTGTATACGTTCTTGAAAACTCCCGCGAAAGGCAAAACCGTGATTTGTGAAGTTTAAACCTTGTGATAAAAATTGGGTTAGGGAAACCAAAAGCCCACGAATATATGTATAAATAATTCTTTTTTTTTAAAAAAAACGTAGTGTTTGTGTTTACTACAGTGACGTCGGTGTTCATGGTTGAAAGTTGTCAGGGTGATCGATCACAATCAGTCCTATAAATTTATAAACGTACAGTCGAATTACACTCACACGATATCTACGTAGCTACTGAGACAGGGGGTCAGATGCGGACTGTTCTGTATTAATTATTCTATCTCTTATACGCTAAACATGAAAACAAAAGCTATATGCTTACGGCAATTTTATCGACTATTGGTATAGCCCAGGCAGTGGTAGTTATGAGAACGTGACGAAGCAATCCAGTGATGCAGGGACTAAAGAAAGATACGTCCATTCCTCCAGGAACCTAACAGAACTCGGACAGGGTCCGATAATCGACCCGTCTGGTCTTAAAGAAATATGGCGAGAGGGGTGGATTAGATTCACGCTTCTCGGGACAGTGACCACAAATGGGCTCTTGTGATCACGGTAATTAGCTTCGTGTTCCATGAAAATGGGGAATTTCTTGATTAGATAAGCGACGATTAGCTTCTCAGAAACGACTTTGTTCCAACAGGCATGCATAAATGTTTGTCTTCAATTGAAATTTCATAATTTACTGAAAATTACGTCATGAGAGTTTTTCTAAAAATCAGATTCACCCCGATCGCCTGACTTGCAGGATTAACAATTACGCTGAATAATCGGACTAAGCCTGAGGTCACGTAATGATTCTGTTGCTGTTACAGGTCAATGCGCAATGATTGACATCCCTCAGAAGATATTATGGGCAGACTGATAAACCGCCTGGAGGAATTTGCTAGGGTGTGGTCGCCCACATCCACTATTAGCGAAGTGTTCGGCGTTTTGTAAACTTGGCTTACTAATTTTCCTCGCATTCACGAAATACTTACTTAGTTCTGTTTTGCAGCGTTGAAAATACAATTTTGCCAACCTGAATGCAAATGTGGAATATTTCAGACTGCAGTGTTACTGTTACGTTATGGCTAATACCTACAACCTCAATGTAAACTTTACTGGTATTTTACCAAAACCGACATATTTTTAATAGTACCTGAAGTATTTACTTTTGTCAAAAGCGATAACTAAATACATGGAGCGGTTGATAAATGCTGAGATGGCAAATTTCCAGTTAACGAAGCAAATACGTAATAATAAAACAGTAAAGCTGTCCCACTATACACCATGTAGGCGCTTGGGGGGAGAGAGGGTATAGCACCCACTCATTCTTGACCTCGGCACTAGATGGGGGTACATAATAATAATAATAATTCAATTCAATTAATTTATTTAAGTGATTGACAACAGCCAAGTAATACCATAGTACAGGATAAGATATAATAAATAATTAAGTATATATTAAATCTTGTCCGTCTAATCACAATAAATTCTTATTAAATATTAAAATATTACGATAATTAACATTTAAAATATTTAAAATATTAAATGATGTTCTTTATCGAAATATTCGATTTATATTAGATCATCATTTTCTTATAAATAATTAAATTAAATTCAATAATAATGAAAGTAAAACATTACAAATACAAGAACAAACAAACAAACAAACGAAACTAAATATATAAATGTACCACATTAATAATAATGATAATTCAATTCATTTATTGAATAATGTTTCACAAGTGAATGGGCTAAATACGTTACCTAAGTAATATAATTCAATTAATAATACTAAATAAAACATTAAACAATAAAAAACAGAAAAACTTATAAAATTAAAACCACAAAATAAGATGCATAATAATAATAATAATAATAATAACGGACGTTCAATAATTGATCTTCGATTAGTTATGGATAAATTCAAAGTAATTTACACCTTATTTTAGGACAGTCGACATGATTAACTAGTTTTTGCCTGTTATAAACTAACCTATAATTGTAATAACGACACGTAACATTTTAATCCACTGAAATGTGTAATAAAATCAAGTGCATGAGAAAGCTAGAACATAATAGGGGAAAATACGTCTTTCATTTGCGAAATATTGAAACCTTTATTAAAACATGTATAAGATAATACCATGACTCCTGCCATTCGTCAAAGACATCAGATTCGTCATTAACACTTAGTTAACATGAATATAATTTTTCTTGAAATACAGACTTTAGTAACTTTTCCTTCTGCTGAAAGAAATTCACTTAAAAAATCAGTGGAATAGAAACTTCGGGAAACAAATTATAAAGCCTACGTTCCTACTACAGTTGTCTAGACCAGTGGTATTCAACCTGGGGTACGCGTACCCCCGGGGGTTAGCGAAGACATCTTTGGGGGTACGTGAAATTTAAAAAAGAAATTATTTTATGATAAACACCGAATAATCAGTAATGTAATTTATTTAATTTATTTTAGATGTAGATTATATACTATGTATAACTTGAATTATACACCAACAACTTTGGGGGTACAAAGTTGAAGAGAAATTATATCTGGGGGTACGCGAACAGAAAAAGTTTGAATACTACTGGTCTAGACACACAAGTCCCGTGTTCTTGATGTAAATAACTTTACGGATTAAAAGGTGACTAAGACATCACATCAGCAGAGCTGTGTCAGAGAGACGTAACTTCGTATTTGGTGGATAAGCCGCGTCGAATGTCGAACGTTTACCAACGTCTCGGCAAAAAACACTGAAGTTCTCATTTACAAACAGCGGTAATAGTTGGCAAGTAGATTATGATAGCCACCTACTATTAGCTTCCTAGAAACTCCTTAATACACGCAACAAAACAACTTCATTTCTATTTTATTACCAACGTGGAAAAGCATGCTGATCGCTCGATGCATTAAATTGTTGCTAAGTATTGAACATTTACCGCTTAAGTTTTGAATCGTAGATAAACATTAGTTGTGACGGTTTTAAGCGCTTCTGTAGGTAAGCCTGTCCTGGTAGCTTTCCTTTGTAAGGGTTTGGCCATCCCTAAGTGAAATGATTCGGTTTGCATTTAATGGCGTGTGCAGCCAGGGGCATCGGAATCTGCCGTTATTCCTCCCACAATGAAGCTACAAGAATGTGTCCACGTCCAACTGTACTCGTACTTAATACAAGAGCTTTCGTACACTGCATCATATGATCCGAACATAAATCACGCGTGATTGAAAGACACAGTTTGTGTGGTTCATTGTTCTGAAACCAAGGTTGAGGTCGCGAGAGCTATTCCCTATTTCGCAACGTCGCAACTTTGGACTGCGTAACTCCTCACTTCCCTTCAGTCACGGACAAACAGGCCAAAGGCCCAAGTTCTTCGTTCTGTGACGTGAATAATACAAGCCCCTCCCCCTCCCCCTCAACCAACATGACGTAATATGTATTAACCATAACACAAACATCGTTTTAAACAGAGCAATGAAACCTGTAATTCTAACCTGACTCTCAGATCCAAAATGTTTTCCGTGATCGCCTTTACAACAAAAACGTTCACCCACCGTAAAGTCATATTGAGTATGATGTACATATACAGAACAACATCGACGGACGTTCAATAATTGATCTTCGATTAGTTATGGATAAATTCAAAGTAATTTACACCTTATTTTAGGACAGTCGACATGATTAACTAGTTTTTGCCTGTTATAAACTAACCTATAATTGTAATAACGACACGTAACATTTTAATCCACTGAAATGTGTAATAAAATCAAGTGCATGAGAAAGCTAGAACATAATAGGGGAAAATACGTCTTTCATTTGCGAAATATTGAAACCTTTATTAAAACATGTATAAGATAATACCATGACTCCTGCCATTCGTCAAAGACATCAGATTCGTCATTAACACTTAGTTAACATGAATATAATTTTTCTTGAAATACAGACTTTAGTAACTTTTCCTTCTGCTGAAAGAAATTCACTTAAAAAATCAGTGGAATAGAAACTTCGGGAAACAAATTATAAAGCCTACGTTCCTACTACAGTTGTCTAGACCAGTGGTATTCAACCTGGGGTACGCGTACCCCCGGGGGTTAGCGAAGACATCTTTGGGGGTACGTGAAATTTAAAAAAGAAATTATTTTATGATAAACACCGAATAATCAGTAATGTAATTTATTTAATTTATTTTAGATGTAGATTATATACTATGTATAACTTGAATTATACACCAACAACTTTGGGGGTACAAAGTTGAAGAGAAATTATATCTGGGGGTACGATAACAAAAAAGGTTGAATACCACTGTTCTAGACCAGTGGTATCAACCTGGGGTACCCGTACCCCCGGGGGTACGCGAAGACATCTTAGGGGGTACGTGAAATTTAAATTTTTTTTATGATAAACATTGAATAATCAGTAATGTAACTTATTTAATTTATTTTAGATGTAGTTTATATACTATGCATAACTTGAATTATACACCAACAACTTTGGGGGTACAAAGTTGAAGAGAAATTATAT